AGTTGATTATTATTTAAATTACAAAATGTAACAATTTAATCAGGTAATAGAGGAAGTTTGGGCTTATTTATTGTGAGAATAAGAATTGTATTTTAATTTCATCAGCTTTGTCTGATCACAAAATTTTCTTAGTAACAATATATTTTTAATTAAACTATTTTCCCATGCAAACATGTTTATGGAGTCCCCAAATTTTATTTTTATTTATTTATTTATTTATTTTTAAAAGATTTTTATTGGGGAATTGGGGAGATGGGAACAGTGCTGGGGAATTGGGGGAAGGGGAACAGACAAGTTGCTGTCGTTTTGTTCTTCAGTCTAGTTGTAAGAGTCCCCAAATTTTACACATTACATATGACTACTAGACTGTACATGCATGAAAAGGAAGTCTTATACAAATTCCTATGAGTATTGGATAATGTGGTAACTCTCTGAAAACAGATTATCCCAAAAACATGTATGTCTGTCATTTGATTTTCAATTAGCTACTTTCAAACATGTTTCAAATATACATCCTTTAGGTAAGTTTGCTATTATCTGTTATTAGAAAAATTGTTAATGTAATTATTCATCCAATTCATTACAAATCATTTGTGATATCATTTATAATGAATTGGATGACCTATAATGTTCTTGAACTTTCTATGTCCACAAAAATAGGATAAATGTTTCATTTATGGTATCATTAAGGTATAAGCAGTGTGTCTTTCCTGCCCTCCATAGAACGTTTCTCTCTGAGCACTGTGATCTCTAAAGTGTAAATGAATGTAACTGCCTGAAATTTACATTTCCCAGGGACATTTGTTTTTCAAAATGAAGCAAAAGCTGTAGTCACTGATTCCATTCTCAGGGTAGCAAACATACACCTCTCTAGGGATGTCTCAGAAAGTCTGGAGCAGGAAGCCTTTTTCTCTCTTACTCAATAATCCGCCACTGAAACATGACCCAGCTAACTGCCATGTAAACAAAAGGTGTGGCGTGGACTGGCTGTTTCAGACTGCAGGCCCTAGGCAGAGGGGTGGGGGTGGGGCAGGTGAGGTAGTTGGGGGGGCTGGGGAGGAGCGGGAGTGTGCAACGGGAGAGAAAGAGCTGGTTGTTTAGCCTTGAAGTGCACAGAGTTAAAGGAAAATCAATACCGAGACATACAGTTAAATAAAGTCAATTAAACAACAAAAAACATCACATCTTTATTCCACGAAAACTCTGTGATTGTAAATTAGATGGCGCTTTAACGTGCCTTTGTAAATAAGAATTACATTTTTAAAGCTGATGGATATAACTATGTACTATTTACAGCATATCAGTTCGAATGTTTTCAGTTATAAGTAACCCCAAAACAAAATCAACTACAAATTGTCTGAAACACTAAAGGGAATTAGCTAGCTCACGTAACTGGCAATCACAGAGGTAGGGTACACTTCATTTTCATTTGGGTCCAATTGTGTCATCAAAGGCCAGTTTCTTTCTCTCTGTTTTATCTTAACAGTGTCATCTTATTCTAGGGCTTGCTCTTCATTTGGTTGCATAGTGGCTGCCTTCAGTTTTGCAGAGAGCAAGCTTCTCTTCTCCAACTTTGGAACAGAAATTTCAGTTTTCATCCATTTCGGCGCCTGAAGATGAACCAGTCCGTATGGTGTGGAATACCAGGCACGGATTGAAATAGACCTAGGTTCTACTTGCTGATTGTTTAGGGCAAGCAGGGCCCAAGGCTTCAAGCTGGACATGGAGTCGATCCCACCTTATGTCACATTCCTTAAATAATAGAACAAAGTGGGTAGGTCACCAATCAACTATTCACCATAAACCATATGCACACATAGCTGATACTACTAAAAACACTTGTTGAGAGAAATAAATGAATTAAAGTGAATGCATTAACATAACTGGATTTTACTATCTTTCCCTGCATAAAGATAAGTGGGCAGTTTTGATACTCTGTTAATGTTTCTGTTGCCAATGAAAACTGTATGTAGGCACCAGATTTAGAACCAGAAAACTAGAGGCTGAGCACTAGGGCTGACGCTCAACAACATCAAGGGCAAAGGAATTCATTCCTCAACCTCTATTTCATCCTCTCCAAAATAGAAATATTCCTATCAAAGTTAGTGTGGCGATCAAAGGAGAGAATAACCCAAAGCGCTGCTGCAACTGAAAAGAACTAGTTTTAAAAACACACTTTTTAAAAGTATTCAGACACTATTTTGTGGAATCATATAAAAAATGCTGCATCTTCAGATTTGGTAAAATTACAAAAACAAGAAAATATAGCTTGCTGGTAAGAATTGCACTTTTCTTTATTTGGTTATACATGGACAAACCCAGAGAGGGAATTAAGATCATATAGATAGTTGCTTTAGAAAAAAAAAAAATCTAGAATAATGCCCTTTGTATAGTGGACCAATTATTTTGTTTCTCATTTTTTCTTCAAGTGTTCTATTAGCTGTCTTAGCTCTGATAGCTGACTTTTCTTTAATTTCTCCATTTCCAAATTAAAAAAAAAAGTCCCAGAATAAAAAAAAAGTTGTCTCAGAAGATATGAGGATAACCTAATCACATTGTTGTCGACAAAAACCATCCAGCCTAAGAGAAAATTTGAGTTTATTTGAGCCAAACTAATGATAATTGCCAGGAAGCAAAGTCTCAATGGATTGAGAAAATGCTCTGGAAAATGGCAACTTATTTTATACATTACAATCAAAGGAGGAGGGTTACATGAAATCCGTTGGTGATAGATTAAGGGGGTGGGAGAAAGCAAAGCGGGGAAATCTCTGGGGTTGGATAAAAAGTAAAATGGAGAAGCACACACTTCTTTTACATTGGTGGGTACAGCATAGTTAATAGCATTTTACAGCACATAGAGATAGTATTTGGGGAACAAGATAACAAAGAGGAATTTTGTAGATTCCTGCTCTGGTGTGGTGGGTTGTGCCCCTGGGGAGATCTGGAAAAAGAGATTACTCTGATATTGTAAGGGTATGTTATCTTAGACGCAAAAAGAGAACAGACAGGCTTAAGGTAAAGATGGACCTTTGTCAAGGAAGCTACAGGCCAAGGATGTGACATCCTGCCATGGCCTACCTTAGTTAGGAATTTTTATATTCATGTTATCCTCTGTGGTTAATTTCAGTCTCCTGAGCTTGTCAGGTTTAACATGTGGCCCCTTTTTCATCCACATTGTAATGGACAATTTTTACTCTATTTTAAATAAATACTTAGCTCAGCGTTCATACCAAAAGTGGGGGAGCAGGGAATTGATTGACTTACACATACACACCAGTCTTTTATTAGACAATTTCAAATGTGCATTACTTTGAAGTAAATCTATAATTTAATTTTAGCAAATTAGTAGTTCTTTGGCCAACCCTTTTACAAATAATTTGCTCTGATCATCTGCTTTAAAATTTTTTATTGTGCATAATTCACGTTTGGATGCAATAAAAAAATAAACAGATCAATTTTCCTGAAGCAATAAGGTATACATTGCATTGAGCAAACATGGTTAAAAGAATGCTCACTTTCATTCTTCATAATTAGACTTCTAACTTCGATATTACAGCAGCTGTGAATATATGTGTCTTTAGAAATGAACTTAGTGAGAGCAGGTGGTTTTAGAGAGAAGAGAACTATCAGACATTTTAGAGAACATGGAAGGACTTTCTCCTGTTACCAAAAATGCCTCAGACTGATATGGCGAGGATTTACAATGCCCACAGATTCTTGCAGTGAGATAGCAAATGCACTCTGCTACGCCTTGGGATGTTAATACATTATGCCTTATCAGAATTAAAAGTAGTGTAGATTTTCATTTACAAATTTACATTTTAAATTATAAATTCAGTAGTTCAATCTACAACATTACACATCTCTAAAACATCAAACTAAGATAAAGTAAGCATAACTTTATTTCATAGATTCCTTCTTTTAGACATGCTGGTTAAGTGTGTAGTCTCTGAATCATAAAGAAGAGATGTCAATTCTAGCACACTATCTCTTATTAGCTATGAGAAATTGGACAATTTACTTAGCATACCAAATAAAGATAGTAGGATGAGCCTCATAAGGATGTGATTAGGTTTAACTATATCTAACTATAATAGAGAGAGAGAGAGAGAGAGAGAGAGAGAGAGAGAGAGAGAGAGAGAGATGAATGATATAGATAGGTAGATATATACAGAGAGATATACCTAGACAGAGATGATAGAAATAGAGATAGAAATAGAGACAGAGATAGAGATGATAGAGATAGAGATAGAGATAGAGGTAAATATATGCCCTGGTATACAGTAGGATGCATCAAATATAAGAAATAGATAATAGTTGTAGCTTTATTTTGTCTGATAAACAAACATAAGTATTAGAAAAGTCTTTCTCTAAAAAGTGAAAGGAAATAAAACAAAGTGAAGATAATCTATATCACAAATTAACTAAATTCCTTGACACCTAAAAATCAATTCACTTTTATATTATGGAGTTCTAACTGTTCATTGGGCATGGGTGAAGCTATGGGAGATTTGTAAAGTGCTAAGAGAACCCCATTCTCTCAAGGAGCTGACTGATCTGGAAGCTACACTTTCACATAAATACTCAAACACTATGCTCTACGAGAGGCTCAGGATTGAGAGAGATCAATGCTGATTGGATGATTTGTTACTAATAATTTTCACAACAGATAGCCATCAATTGCTATACTTCTGTCTTTGAATCATTCCTCCATTAAAGAATATGGTTTTTATTTACAGGGGATCAATATAGGAAGGCTCGTGAGGACTTTTTGATAGTTATAAAAGCTTCAGTGCTTCTCTTATATTTGAGGAAGTTTATCCCTGGCACATTTGATTGCATTTGCTCTTTAAAAGGAAAAAAAGAAAATATTTAATTTTTTTTTTGTTTGAACTGTTTTATTTTTGCACTTTTTAAATATGAAATCAACTCCAAATACTTTTTAAAATTTAATCCACATTAAAAAATATGGCCAATAGGAAGATAAAAGGAATTTTAAAACACATTTTTATGACAGCATCTAAGCAAATTATTTAAAATCACAGATGATATATATGTTTTTAGCACAGATGATACACTTGGGCTACAGTGGATCCAGTCTTAATCTCTGTCTCATTCATATCATAACAAATTATTAAAACTAAATTGCATTTTGAAGATATCCTATATTGAAGCTGAAACACTCAGCCCCCCAACAATGGAACACTGATGCCTGAAGCTCACAGAAGCTGAAACATATCCCCCACCCACCAAAGCTTTAAACAAGCTGCTTTCAGAAGCAAAGGCTTATGATTTTACACTTGTGTGAGTTTTCTTTAAAATGTCATCAATAGAGGTGCCATTTTGCAACAGAATGTATGTTCTTTTGACCCCTGGACAGAATTTCTAAAGGGTCAATTTTGAAGTTTTCTCAAGTTTAATAATAAGTTAGAGTGATAGGTAGCATTTATAAGCCAGCGTCAGATGGAAAGAAATCTCCCTCTTTCTGTCTGCTCCATCGGGAAAAGTATCCTCCACTACAAAACCAGCCAAAAAAACCCCAAAAAACAGTGAGAATGAATCAAATGCAATTCAATTGAAAGAGACATACCTTCACTTCATAAGACTAATTCAAAGGATGGTATTATATTTGTAGAAATTTAATAAACTGATTAATATTTAATGTAATACAGCTTTTATTTTTTTGATACTGAATCCCCCAACTTCACGAAAGTATGTGAATCCAGTAAGACATAAAAAGTAAACAATGTTGTTCCTTTGGGATTTGAATAGACTTAATCTGTAGTTAATGAATTAATAATGCAGCGACGCCACAGAACATTAACAAATGCCTTTCCATTAACAGCATATACAAAAGTAACATTAATGCCAGAGAAATTTAGGTAGCTGGTTTGATTTTAAGAGCTGGGTGTCAAAATATTGAGGAGCCAAATGTTGCCTTTATGGGGATATTTATCTGCTTGCAATTGTTTTGCCATGACCAATTATAAGCACTGTTTGCAACTTCAATATAAGAGACAGGTACCCAAGGGACATAACACTCAAATTGATTAATTCACCCCATCTTTAGCAAATTGCAAGTAAATTGATTTGGCATACACAGCAGGAAAGCCTTAATGCAAATGTGGCCTCTCTCCATTTTCCTAAGACGTCCCTAATTAGAAGTGACATTATTATCATATTAGTAAGCAAAATCCAGAATAATCATTTATCTCCATTTCTGCAGGAAAAAAAGATTTATTCTATACAGTCTCAACACACTGATGCTACATTGGACTCCAATTCCAGCACTGAGGGGCACCACTTCAAAACAGTAAGATCCACAGGACTACAGTGATACAGAAGTGATTGGACTATTCACATCCACTGGGCTATGAAGCCAACGGAGGCACTTCTCTGCTATTAAATGACAAAGAATGTCTTTTGCTGTTGTTTTCCTTCTTCATAAGGCCAGAGACCTGCCTTCTTTCAGTTCCAGGCTCCCATCTTGACACCTGTGATCAGAGAAGAAAAGGTTCTTTTATTTGCAGCTCAGTTAAAAATAATCCTGGGGAAAGGATCCTGATTGGAATGAGAGAGGAGAGGCAGTCCTATGACTTAAGTAGGATAGAAGTTCTTTCAGAGTTAAACAATTGCCAATTTAAAAATTCTTCATACAATGCTTGCTGTATAGTAAGTGCCTAATACATGTGAAGAACATGTTAATATTGGCCCTCTGTCAAGGGCATGGGCAGTATAGCTGTGTGATAGTCATGTGTGGAACTGGCAATCAGAAATTTTAGGTTTTAATCCTCTCTCTGAAGTTAAGAACATAATTTGGGTAAATTGCTTTGCCTCTCAGAGCTTTAACTTTTCATTTGTAAAATCACCTTGAAAGATATCCCCCACTCACTGGAGTTGTCTCTTGAGCGAGATATATTTTGCCTTTACTGGATACTGTGGGGTCTGGCTTGTTCTAGTCAATAAACACCAGTTCAATCTCCTTTGCCCTTTATGAGTTTTGGAGCATCAACTCAATACTGACACCAATAGTGTGACCTTGGGAAGTTACCAAAGCTTTCTGTCTCAGTGTCCCCACCCATCTAAGGAAATTGCAATTCCTTTGTGACGAGACTGTGTTTTAGAGGAAATGAAGCAGTGCATATAATAATACTTTGCTGGTGTTCAATGCCATTTTTAGATGCAAGGGCTTATTATACTAGATGGAAATTATTCCAGTTTCATGTCGTCATGAGAGACATTTTAAAAAGCTAACAATAACTCAGTTAGCAACTGGAAATCATAAACTAAAAAATACATTCCAGCTTCATATAACTTGATATTATTCTGGTGCTAGCTAAGATGAATAAGAAATCATAATGTCATTATGCAAATTATTAATGCTATATAAGTAGATGATCAATGTGACTGAACCTGCTGGGTAAGGATTAAAACTGACCAGAAGGAAGTATGGTAATATAGCTAGAGCCTGCAGATGATGCTTCGCTGGAGTCTGAGAAAGCTTTCTCCTAAAATGAAGAACGCAGGAAAACTTTCAAGTACATGTAGGTAAGCTCTTCATCCATTTCATAGTTCTATTTATGTGATAAATTATTAATGTTTTTCTTTTAATCACATACATAGGAAAGCCTATTTTTTCACAAATAATGCTAAACAAACAAACAAAAAAAAAACACCCTCTTTTTTTAAAAAAAAGAGCCTAACTGCTACAAGAGGGAAGATTCTAGTCATTGGTTATTTACATAGGACCATGAATGCCCATAAAACTTTTACCAGCAGCAGGACTTACCTATAATCACAAGGACTTATATTTTTAAAGCCTGCAAGGAAGAAGCAAAAACGTATTTAAGGTAAAATGTTCAAGGCCACATGTCATGATCAACTGTTATTGAGTGAATCTATCATTTGAAGGATTCCCTGCAAGGAAAATAAAAGAGAACATTGGCTGAAAGCTGTACATGACTTCCTCTGTAGGACAAGAGACTCTAGAAGATAGGTGATAGTTGGCACTGAAATTTATGACCGGGCTTGGCGAGTCACAGCAAAAAAGCAAGCTGTTTTCTCTTTTACAGGCTGTTTTAATTTTATGAAACATTCTTTCAGGTAAGCGTTTCTGCCACTGATCTACTATCTAGGCTGCACATATCACATGGGCTGCCCTTCTCTTATGCATTTGCTTATGTGATTAGTATTTGCTTATGTGATTAAACGGAAACATAATTCCTCTTCAGCATTTCTTTGCTGAACGGGACCTGTACATAGAAATATAAAATGGGGATCTTGGAGACGAGATATAATCAGGTGGTCAGGGGACTTGATAAGTTCGCTACACACCCCTGATTAACTGGGAGGCTACAGACCTACAGAGGAGAGTCTTCATGGGGCCTGGTAGAAAGAAAAACTGGGGCAGGCTCAAAACTTGCCTGAAATTTGAATGTGCACCCCTCCTCACATATGGATACATTGGAAGGGTGGAACCTTAATTGGGCCAAGGTCTTTGAGCTCTATCTCTGACCTGTCATTGACTTACGAATTATGCTGACTCTGTATAAACCTCTAGGAAAAGAAAAAACCCCACAAAAAAAAACAGAACCCCAGTGGCCACATGATGCTGGGAAGACAAATTCCATAGGTTAAATCTCAGCCAGGTGGGTTACACATAAAGAAAAGGAAAAAATAGCAACAAAGTAACAATGACAACCTCATACAAATAACAGACGAACAGAAATCTAGAATTGCTTATTATCTAAAATGATCAGTTTTCAGCCAAACTTATGAGACCTATAAAGAAAGAGGAGTATAATCCATTACTAGGAGGGGAATGGCAGTGAATATAAACTTTCTCTGAGTAGACATACATAATGCATTTAACAATAATAAAGATTTTGTGGACAATGATTTCAAGTTACCTACTATAAATACTTTCAAAAGTATAACAAAAATATGATGAAAAAGACTCAAACAAAAGGGAATATAAATAAATAACAATTAAAAAGAAACACAAGAAATTCTAGAACGAGAAAGTACAATAACTGAAACTTAAAAAAAATATTCAGTAGGATCAAAAGATGACTCGAGATGGCAAAAGAAAGAATTAATAAATTTGAAGATAGACAAACAAAGAAAAGAGAAGCCACATTGGAACACAGTTGCTATATTTTATCAGAATTAAGTCAGTGTTAATCTGAAATACTATAAATTAAAGTGTGTATTTTAATCTAAAGCAACTACTTATAAAATGAGTAAAAGAAATAGTTTAAAAACTCATCAGAGGAATGAAAATGGTACATTAAAATATATTTATTTCACACAAATGAAACAATAAAATAGAGGAACAAAAAAGACATGAGACACATAGAAAACAAAGAGGGAATTGACAAACATAAATTTAACCACATTATAAACTCCACCTGTATGCACCAAACACTCCCATCAAAAGGGAGAAATTCATAGATTTGTTTAACAAGCAGTTCCCAAATATATGCATTCTATAAGAAACACCCTTTAGGTTCTAAGACAAATAAATTGAAGTAAATGGATGGAATAGGATATTATGCAAAAAATTACCATAATGATACATGGAGTCCCTGTACTAAGATCGTATAAAATAGATTCTATAACAAGGTATAGTACTAGACACAAAGAGGAAAATTTCATGGTGATAAAAAGGGTCAATGCATCAAGAATTTATAACAATTATAAATGTAGATGAACTATGAATACTGTTACCTAAAAATGAAGTAAAAACTAAAGCAAGTGAAAGAAGAAATATCAAGAAAAATTAACACTGATTGTTGACAACTTCAATGTCCTACTGTCAATGACTGATAAGGAGGAAAACTAGGGAGAAATGCAGCAAGGATATGCGACACTTGAATGAACTCTCGACTTACTTGACCGAACTGATATTTATAAAAAGCTCCCCCAAAGAGACCAGGATACATATTCTTTTCAAGCATACAAGGAATATTCTCGAGGAGACATCATATGCTAGGCAATAAAACAAGTTTTCATGAATTTAAAAGGAAACCATTCAAGGAATGTTCTCCCACCACAATGGAAACAAATTAGAAATCACAAAAAGAATTTTGGAAAGTATCAAAGTATGTGGAAATTAAAGAGCATACTTCTAAATGACACGTGTCAAGGAAAAAATATAAAGGGAAATTAGAAAACATTCTGAATAAAATGAAAATTAAAGCCCAACATATCGACATTTATGAGATGCAGCTAAAGTAATGCTGAGAGGAAAATGTATAGCTTTTAACTCCAATAAAAGAAAAGGAAATGACCTTTAATCAGTAATTTCAGCTTCCCTCTTAAGAGACTAGAAAAAAGAGAGCAAATGAAACTTAATGAAAGCAAGCGGAAGGAAATAATAAAGACTAGATTGGGGGCTAAGGAAATGGAAAAAAAAACAACCATGAAATAACGAAACCCTGACAAGTAAGGCGAGAACCTGACAGAAATCAAGGGCGATTCACGAGCCAAGGCTGAGCGAGAAGCCGGGCTGACTCCTGGCACCTGCAGCAGCAGTTAGCTGACATTCATTACAGGTCTCTGTATAAACAGGATGCAGCCACTCTGGCACTGTATGGCTTTCAGTGCATCGTATTGTTAATATTCCAACTGCAAAACAATGATCCTCTCTCACGCCTTCAGTTTGAAATCCGTAAGGAAGGAATCTGAACAGCCCCATTTGGTCTTCATCATCTCTGCTGTCACTTAAGCCTCCTCGGCCACGAGCCAGACGTACCACTGAGGTGTTTTTGTTTGTTTGTTTTTTGTTTTCCTTATGAGTAGGCAAGAACCCAAAAATAAGGGCTTGGACAAGAAGAAGTTTATTTCCCCCTGCATTAAAGCTTCGTGGAACTGGCTTAGAAAAGCCAATTGTGTGCATCTCTTCCCAATTCCACATTCAGTGACTGTATGTTATATTGGTATTTTGAAGTCAGCCACGGTGGGAGTATTTCCTTCAGAGAAATCAGGAAACACTCCCAGTCAGGCCACTCTGACCCACGGAACCAGAGGCTAATGATTTACCAGCACACCACTGGGAGAGATATCCAGATCAGCTGTGTGAGCTGCACTGTATCAAGGAACCAGCTTTATTGTTTTCTTATTGTTCTCCCAAGGTCGCATGATGGCCCCAGATGGTTGATGGGGCTCTCAACTCATTACATTTTTTATCCCATGCTGCAGTAAGAAGGAAGAAGGGAAGTTGAAGGGGACCCCTTTTAATCAAAACCAATGGAAATTCCACACAACACTGATTCATCCATCTCATTGTCCAAAAACTAGTCAAAGCCACAACTATAATAGTTCAGAGGTCTGGGACTTGCGCCAATTCTCACAACTAATAATTAAGGTTTGATGATTAAGTCAGAATATGGGCAATATATATTTGGAAGCAGTTAGAGGTTCTTGAACCAATAACCAATAGATCATCTTTCTGTCAGGTATTCACCACTATACCCAGCAGCTGTAGTAAACC